CGGTTTGCGGGAAAAGGGGGGGGGGGGGGGGCGGTCTTAGGGGCTGGGAAATATTGTTTTGATAATTATTTGAAGTTTTTTTCTGTTGTTTTTTTTTGGTTCGTTTCATCTTGTACCCATTTTTTCTTTTTGAGAGGGTTGAAGGGGGCTTCTTATAAAATTAAAGAGGGGAGCGAAAGGTAATGTTTTGCATGATGGGAGGGGAGAAAAAAAAGCAGTGCTCAACGAATCTGGCTTGGGTGAAGGGGGAAGAGGATAAGAGGACAAAATGAAGGCATCAGCTGCATTGTATTGCATTACACATACTACATTTAACTCTTGTTTATACATGGTTTATTAACATACTTTCAACTTCATGATGAGTCCTCTTGAAGATATGTTTTGTTTACTTGAGACCCAGTGTAGACAGAGAAGAGGCTATAGCCATGATAGTAAGCTTGGATCGACCACAGGGTCCTGTCATTCCAAAGTGTCTGGACCAGATGTTATCGAACTCAGGGGTATCACACCTCGCCGAGGCCGTCAAGCCCACCCAGCTTTGGCTATATGGCGAGCAGCCAGGATGTCTCGGGTTTCAGGAACGGAAGCAGATCGAACATGCGTTGTTTTCTTCGGCATTGAATCAAAGAATCGAAGATCCCAGAGGGGGAGCTGCATACGTCACACAGGAACTGGCGTGCTCACTTATTAACATAGCCCATGTCTCTAACGGCTCTTCCGCCTTGGTTCAGACAACACGTTTCGTAAAGCGTAGAAGTCTCCAGCAGCTGAATCTTGATATTAGCATCACAAGTGGACACCGAGGCAAACACCAATTGCTGTTTGAGAGGAAGAATGAGCTGATGGAAGATGGCCTTTCAAGGCCATGGGGCTATCCGAATCAAGAGTCCAAAAGCGGAGAATGTGGTCTGGGAGGTTGCGGAAAGTGGGGCCCAAGCCAAGGGTCGCATCGGAATTTGACAGGCGCAAAAGGTGGTGACGTCATAGCACAGCAGCATCAAAGGCCTGCTCTCCCACTGCTGACTTTGGGAAGCGCTTCTCAAGGCGGGGAGCTACGCTGCGATGATGTATGAGGTAGCAAAAGGGGGTACGTACGCCTTACAGCTTGGTACCCCGGCCAGTCACTGGGGAGGTGGAGGGCCCCGTCCGTTTCCAATTAACCTGGCCCGGGTACGGGACTGGACTGGGGGACTGGGTCACTTGCAGGCTGGGAAATCGTGACGCACAAAGGCGATCCAGGTTCCTGCCCACTCTTCAGAGTTTTGTGTTATAATAAACCGTCTTTCCCGCCGTCTGCTGACCTGACTTTTTGCTTTCTTTCCTCATCAAACCAAACAAACAATCCATCCAGCTTTGACGAATAGTCCTCTCACGATACACTAACCACTTCCTCAACACTATCCAAACAGTTAACACAACTCTCTCACACTTCACAACCGCAAACATGTCTCTTCAGTGTAAGTGACGCCATTTCCCCGCATTGTTAGTCGTCCATGTATCCGACCCGGTGTCATCAATGCGACTTCTTCCTCGTCGACTCGGCCGGTTCTCGACCAGACGCTGGGAATGGAAAAAACCATTGAGTATCTGTCAGTCTGGCGAAGAGGATTTTCAATGGTTGCACCGAGGGATCAGGACACAAATAGTCAATAATGAAACCCCAAAACTAACAATGCCATCACAGACCTCCCCGCTGTTAAGCCTTCCGCCATCGCCCTCGGCACCGTCTTCAACCACACCTTCGAGCTCGGCGTCCTCTCCCCCCTCTTCGGCAAGACCTGGCAAAAGGCCAAGTCTGCCAACACCAAGGAGGAGTTCCTCAAGTCTCGGGAAGCCTCTTCTGCCGCCGCTGCCTGGGGTTCCGCCCTCGTCGGCTCTGCCCTCCAGTCCTACGGTGTCGGTGCCCTGATCAACGCCACAGGCACTCTCTCCTACAAGGGCGCCGCCTACCTCGGTGCTCTCATCTTCGCCGCCACCAGCGCCCCCGGCTTTATCTCCCAGCTTGTCGTCGAGCACCGCGCCTTTGACCAGGTTGGCCTCAATGTGCTCGCTAAGCTCTTCGAGACTGTCGGTCTTTCCGTCTTCCTTTCTTGGTGGGGCACCCGCACTATCCCCTTCGGCTCCGGTGGCACCCCATTGAGCCGTAACTCTTTCCGGGCGGAGTAAATGGAGATGATGGGCAATGGGAGGAGGAAAGATAGATGATTAATGAACCTCGACTCGGGATAGAGTGATCTTGGAGGAGGGAGAGGAGGAAATTCAAAAGATTAAGGCGCTTTAGTGTGTGATGCTTTTTTCTTTTGTTTTTGTGTACTTTTATGATATTAGCATCCATGGAATGGGATTTGAGGTAGACTCACTGCTGTTGTGCGCGTTGCTGAATATGCGAAGAGGATGTGAACTATTCGGTGCCGTGGTGATCATGAAAATTACTAATTCTCTGGCTCCCAACAACATCCCCATGCTAAACACGTAAGGCTTTTCTCAGCCGACGAACTTGAAACATGGCTGGAATCTCAGTAAACCACCAAACACACATGAGAGAGCACCCTCGTTTCTAGAAAGTGGAATCGACAGTACTCGTTATCACCTATCCGAGCAAACGCGAACAAGACAGGGGATATTCGCGGTTCTATTGGCACAGGAGGCCCAGCACGGGCTGCTGTGATAAATCCTCGTGTCACGGTGTTCTCGGTAGTTGTTGGTGTGTTTTTCAACCTGCCAAGCTGGGCTGTCAAGGGGGTATCGTCATTGAAACAGACGGGTTGAATCTTGAGTCTGTCTGTGTCAAGTGTTGTTGTGTCAAGTGTTGTTGATGAGGGGGCTCATGGGTTCATCTCTGCATGGGGTTGATTTAGTGAGGGCAATTTTCCCGAGCGGTGTTGGGTTGCTGTGTTTGTCTGTAACGAGGAGTTGATAGAGAGTTAGGTGGTTAGGTGGTTAAGGTGAAGGTGTGACATTGGGATGTGTGGGACGTTGTTTTGTTTTTCTGTTCATGAGTTGTTAGTTGAATGCTCATGAAGTTGATGGGAGTGAGTACCTGATGCCAGGCTTGCTGGTGTTGTGGTCTGTAAGTTTGGGATGGGTGGTATATCTCTTGTGCTGATAGATTGGCGATGGTCTGCCGTGTTGCAGGTTGCTTCGGAATAGGACGACGGGAGTCTGCGTTGGATTCTAGGTGGACAAATGTTGATGGGTACTTCTGTCGACGGTGTCTATCATTCTCGTCGGAGCACACAAAAGCAAAATGAACAAAATTGAATATAAAACACCATCCGGTGTTTGTGATATTTTATACACCCTACAAAAAGGCTGAAAGCTAACCGCTAACCCCCATTCCCTTTTGTTTTGTACTTCAACAAATGCCGAAAAAAGAAAACAATGAACAAAACCCCCCAGTATGTCCCCTGAACGCCGGCCTTTTTTGTTTGACACCCAATGGAAGCCAAATCAACGACTACCATGCCATCGAGAAAATGACAAGATGCTTCAAATTGATGTTCAGAGAAAGAAAGAAAATATCCTCTGGTTCTGATATTCTCTCATTGAAGCCCCTCATGGTATTCCCCATTGATGCTGTTCCAAAGACTGAACGATAAGCTCTTGCAATATTAATAGTGTGAATACGCAGTTTGCTCATGTTGTCGAAGAAACTTGATGCAAAGGGAAGACTGAAGAGACGGAGAGATCGAGAGGAGGATAACCCTGCTTCTGACATGCCCAACAAACGATGCCGAGGTAGAGTCGCGTGACAAGTAAGGGGAGCTGGGTATCCGTATGGGTATATCATGCTGGTTGCTGAGAATGTAGCAAGAAAACGTGCTGCCTTGAAGTCAAACAGCAACAGGGAGCTCAGGCAGCGCCGATTTACTGCTGCTTGTTGGCCTGGCGGTAGGCGATTTGCTTAGAGTGGGTGCCCTTGACCCACGGCTGAACCTGGGCATCCCACTCCTTTTGAGCAATCCTCAGGACCTCCTTGTAGGACTCGAGGTACTCCTCAGCCGACGACTTCTTATCAGCGTCGGTCATCTCGGTGTCTTTGCCAGCCTTCTTGCCTGAAGGCTTCAACATGACAACACTGGTGGCGCGCTTGGTGCAAGCGGCAACACCGAGGTCGGCGCGGGACTTGATGAACAAGTAGGGAACATTGTGCTCCTCGCAGAGGAGGGGGAAGTGCATGATGACATCCATAGGAGAGATGTCGCCGGCAATGATGACAAGGCCGGGGGCGTCGCTAGGGGCAGTCGCGGGGGTCTTCGCAGGTGTCTTCTTGATAGCTTTCTCGCACTCCTTAACACCGCGATGGATGGACTTTACTTTCGCGCCTAGAGGAAAAAAACAGATTAGCATCGGTCTGCGCAAAAGCGAGTCGATTGGAGGCAATTGCTGTGCACGCACCCTTCTTAATGAGCTTGTAAATCTTCTTGTGAGTCTTGTCATCGGCCAGGGGGAAGGCGAATGGGACAAGCTCCTCGGCAGGCTTGATAAGATCCTCCGGATCGACCTCGACGTCGCTGTCCACCTTCGCAGCAGCGGCCTCAGCATTAAGATGGGCCTCGGCGGCGCGGGCAAGCTTCTCCTGCTTGGCCTTGTCCTTTTTCTTGTCTTTCTTCTCCTTAGTGACACCGGCAGAATCAGAGCGCTTTTCCTTTTTCTTCTCAGACTTGTCCTTGCTCTTTTTCTCCTTCTTCTCCTTCTTGTCAACAATGTCGACGACTTCCTTGGTGGTCATTTTGGCGACTTTCTGAGCTCGGCGCGTGAAAATCGAAGACGGGCGGGGTGAAATAAGAGATATGATTACCGAATAGTCGGGATAATACAAGCAATTGAGTCGATTAAGAGGGGGAATCAACAAATATAGTGCTGCCACCTTTGCGCCAGACGAGTCGAGACTTGCAGATTTTCAGATGCAAAGGCGAGCCAGAAATTTTGTAGGCCAATTGTATGCCCGTTCCGCCAGCTCCAAGAATTTCTGGCGCTAGCGGCAGTGTCGAGGCCCGTGCCCCGATGCCAAGCGGTGTAGGCGCTCGGACCATCATGAGAAAAAGGTCGGTGTTGAGGGGGGCTCAAAGGGCCGAAGATGAGCCGGATTGAGCGAAAGGTGGGCGGGGTGGGGTGTTCAATGCGGGACACTGAAAGTACCCCACCATAATTTTCCACGGTTCGTTCCCCAAGGCTGAAAGCTTGCAGTGACACATTGACTCATTCTGTTCTTCTGGAAGCAAAAGCCAAATTCCCAGTCAGTTAAGACAAGTGATTTGACAAAGAGACTTCAGCAAAACAATTGATCAGCCCATATTCTACACCGCAAAGAGACAGACAACGAGAAACACCATACCTGCCGTTTTCGAGCTTCCGCGATTTCCCAGCACGAACCGCGGGGTCACCCATCTTGTTCAAAAACATATCCTTGATCCTCAGTGGCTTATACGGTTGATACTGTCTATATTCACACACACACAAAGCCATGCCACCATCACAGGCAAACTATGCCCCCAGCTTGGACAAGCTGATCAAGTCCCTCAAGAGTCAGCCCTATGAGGCTTCAATCGAAGCTTTAATATTGTAGGTGACTGCCTTGTGCTGCGGTGTTTTGAGCTCTTCTGACTTTTGTTCCTCTCTTGTTAGTCTCCTCAAGCGCCGCCAGGTAAAGGGCGATGACTGCGCCGTTGCGACAGCCCACATTCTCCTCCAGGTTGTTGCGCGATCGAAATGGCACGATGTTGACCAGCTCTTGGGCAGAGTCCAGAGTGTTGGGTCCAGACTTGCACGAGCTGCCCCTCACGAGCCAGTAATTGGAAATATTGTGCGCCGAGTGCTGGGCCTCATCCGCGACGAGGCAACCGAGGACAGAAATAATGCCGACGACTTGGGCAGCGATTCGGCATCCGATATCCAGAGCCTTGCCCCTACCAACCCTCCACCACAACGGCCTGCCCCGACCCCAGTCCTTATGCGCTCCAACACTGCTGCCCCAGGCGGCCTTCAGGTGTCCAAGTCCATGTTCAACATTCTCTCAGCCGCCACTGCTGCCGACACACCCATGACTGGAGCTTCAACACCACTTTCTCAGGCCCAGCCTGCCAGTGTACATGCCCTGCGAACCGAGGTTATCAATGGGATTGAGGAAATCATGGACGAGATCCAGCAGGCCGATGACCAGATTGCGAGTTTTGCGGATATCCAGATTCACCCTGGCGAGTATGTGCTTGCCTATCAGCCCACCAAGACGGTTGAGAGGTTTCTCATCAAGGCTGCCACGAGGCGGCGGTTTACTGTCTTCATTGCCAGTATCGACCCTATCGAGCCAGGAAGTGGTGAGAAGCCCTATGCGGCATTGAGGAAGAAGCTCAACTCGCACGGAGTTACCACCATCAACTTGGCCAGCAATGGGTTGATGGCCTATATTCCCAGGGTGAACAAGGTCATTTTTGGTGCCAAGGTGATTTACCAAAACGGTGGCTTGCTTGTAGACAGCGGTGCCTGCATTGCTGCTCAAGCTGCCAGAGAGTTTTTGAAGCCTGTCATTGTTCTTGGTGCCATCTACAAGTTCTGCCCTGAGGATCCATCGGACGAGGCTGTCATTAGTGAACTCGGCAACCCATCCAGCTTTGTGAGCTATGCAGACGGTCCCGAGGTCGAGGCTCTGGATATCGAAAATACCGTGACCGATTACATCCCACCATCACTCGTGGAAGTGTACATCACCAACTTGTAAGTTGCCCTGCTGTAATGCATGGTCGGTTAAGATTTGGCGATTCGTTAACTTTCCAATAGGGGACCACAGACACGCCATCATTTGGCTAGTATTTTGGCCGACCATTACAAGGTGGAAGATATAGGATATTCTCTCCACGACGGTGAGGTTTAAAGAAAACTGTGTGCTGTGCGTCACATTCTTGATCTTGAGAGGGGCAGAGAACGCGACAGCTCTTCGTGGCCTCTGGCTGCGGCTCTTAATCGAGCCATTCACATGTCGTTTTATTATACCCAATGGAGCTTTGACAGGCCTAGACTAGGTGGACTGTTGACGCCTGGTAGGGCCGCGTAAGCTTCGAGGCCGAGTGGTGGTGTGGTGAGCGTGGGACCCACAGAACAAAGGACTGCGGGGAGCGAATAGGGGACCGAACTATGGGGCTATGTCAGCCAAGCCTCTTGCGGTGCCCTTGTGGGCAACGGCCCCCTGGCAAATGGCAGCGAAGCGCGCGGAGACTCGGGGAGCTGGCTTACACATCCTTCACCTCAACCCATGATGGCTGGTTTGATGAATCTGACTCTCATCATCCTTTTGGCGAGCTGTCCATTCACCGCAAGAATACCAACAAATGCTTAATCGCCCCGCCTTTTTGCTGTGCCTTGACTGTTTTTCTCTTTGCCCGAAGCCAGTGCGTCTATCCGTAGTTATCTCAGTGTCCACCCCACTTTGGGGCTCTTTTGGACGTTGAACCTCTGATTCCATTACCTTAGGTTGTTGTCTATTTTTTGTTGATCTTACCTCACCTTCCAATCATCAGCAACATGACATCCCGGCGTGCTCCCCTCGAAGACATCCCTCCCCCTCCATACTCAGAAACAGACATATACTCCAACACGTCCTCTGGCCCATCTCCGACCAACCCGACACCGCCCACCACCACATCAACCCTGCGAAGGAACTCATCCAACTCGGACGACACCACCACCTACGACGGCGAGATTATTTACACCCCTCCTCTAACTCCCCAGTCGGCACAATCCAACACTGCTGCTGACCTTGTCGCTGCCCCCTCATCGCCGCTTGCTACTTCTCGTCCTCGGCGGATCCCAGAGGCGCAGGCATACTTCGACAGCCGGCCGCATTCGGGTGTTTTCGTCGGTGGCCCGACAACAGTTGAGATCACCCTCGCTGCTGACCCAGCTCTGACGGATGTAGAGGCCATCGCTGGGATCGACAGGTTGACTGTCGGTGGTGGTGCTGGTGAGAATGGGGATATCACGCGGGAGGACTGGATGACGTTTCTGAATTATCTGCTGCCTGGGTTTGCGGATAGGACGAATGAACGGGTGGTGGATAGGAAACTGAGGGCGGAGGGGGTTGAGACTGGTAGTGAGAAGGGGGAGAGTGATACTAGGAGCCAGGCCGAGGTTTTCTTGCTGGAGAGGATAAGGGGGGTTGGTAATAGGGATGGTGATGGGGAGGGGGTCGGGGCGAGGAGGGAGAGGGTGGAGAGGATGGTGAGGGAGTGGAATGAGGGGTTTTGGGAGAGTAGGGGGGTGAGGGTTGTTGTTAGGTATGAGGGCGAGGGAGAGAGGGAGGAGAGGATGCCTGGGGGATGGGAGGAGAGGTTTGATACTCCTTCGGGGCAGGGACAGCAGCAGGCGCGGGGGCAAGGGGGGTGGATGGGACGGTTTAGTCCTTTTGGTGGAGGGAGTGGTGCTGCTGGGCCTAGCAACAGTAACAATAACAATAACGGCAATGGGTTCAACTTTGGCGGAATCAAAGTTGATGGGGAGAGGATTAGCATCGGGAATAATTTTGTGGTAGATGGTCGGACTGGCCATCTCAAGATCGGGGGCATAGTGGCTGATACTAATGGGATTAGCATCAATGGGTGGAATCCTGGGAATATGTTTGGTGGCAGAGGGGGGCCCCACGGTCGTGGAGGAGGACCTGGGGGTTGGTGTCGTCTTCCGGGTGATGTCCGTGGGTTTCAACCTCCACCAATCATGCCGGGGATGTCATGCCCGCCTCGATGGACTTGGGGTGGTCCTGGTGGGAGAGGTGCTTGCGGCGGACAGAGGCCCGAACGTGGACAACATCACTACTTTGGTCGGGGAGGACGAGGAGGATGGTGGAACAGCCGTTGGGGGCAAGGTCCGACAGAACCAGAACAGCCAGCACAACGTGGACGGGAAGGCGAGGAGGGTGTTGGCAACGTTCAACCGGCCAACCAACCTGCTCAGGGCCAAGACCGTGGAAGGACACACCAGTCTCCTTCCAAAGAGCGCCGTCGCTCCCGGTCAAGCTCTGTATCGAGCACATCATCAAGGTCGTCCAGCAGTTCTGAGTCCACCATCGGCTCTCTACCCGACTATGACGACCTGAAAGACACCCAGCTGCCCGTCATGAAGACGTACCTCTCGGAGTCCCTCCATCACCCCGAACAACAGATCACACGGGAAAGAGTGCGTCAAGCAAAGCAACAGATCCGTGAGGCTCGCCGTGCCCCTGCCACAGAGATCAACGAGCCAGTCAACATGACACAGGACCGCAAGGCCCTGCGCCGTGAGGTTAAGGAGTTGATGCGTGAATGGAAGCAGCTGAAGAAGGAGCAAAAGCGTCAGCGCCGCCAGCTCCGCAAGGAGAAGCGTCAACGCCGAAGGCAAGAGAAGCGGGAGAAGCGTCAAACCAAAAAGGAGATGCGCCGGGCAGAGAAGGACTTTCACCGTCACGGTCATAGATCTGGTCCTCTTCCTGTTCCCCATCATGGTCCACCACCGCCTGGCCCTCCGCCTCCCCATGGACCGTCTCATCTTTTTCCTCAGGGCTTTCCGCCTTACATGCCCCCGATGCCCCCGATGCCCCCGATGCCCCCGATGCCCCCAATGCCTCAAACAAACCCCTTTGGCGCACCAGCTCTTCCCCTCGTCCCCCAATCCGAAGCACCCCCCTCCTACCGCGGTCTCTCCTTCGATGCCGCTGCCAATAGCCCCCCAACACCCACCGGATTCCCCCTTGGCCGTCCCGGCCCCCTACCGCCCGGAGCCTGGCCCCAAGAAAGTGACAACGCCACACCCCTCAGAGCCCTCAGCAGCAAAATACAAACGAGCCGATGAGATTGAGGATGAGATCACCGCCAAGTACTCGGATCTATTGAGCCTTCAAGAAAAGATCTCTGGTCCGGGATTCCCCAAGGCGGAGGACGAAAAGGCGGCGATCGGGCTGGAAAAGGAGATTGAGGAGTTGGCGGTGGAAATGGAGAGATTGAGGACGGAGGCGGATGAGGAGTTTGCGAGGGAGCTGGCGAGGGAGGAAGAGAGTAGACATGGGTTGTTTATGAGGGCTGAAAGGTGAGAGGTGAGGGTTTGTGTGAGTTCATGACAGTCACGAAAACATGTTTTCATCAGATCTTAGCGGCCGTTTTGTGTTGGAGTTTGCGATAGGTAGCGTTAAATAATGGGACATTAGTAAGCTCCATAACCCCCTGTTTATACCGTCCGCTTTGTGTGAGCCTTGATATCGACAAACAATGTTTACCTGTTCGAGCCCCTTTTCCACTCATGTCTAATCACAAACCAACATCACCCACCCATATCACATCAAAACACACCTGACCGGTAGACTTTTTGTATTCCCGCCCACCCTTGCCCACGTTTCTAAACGCTCAACCAAGGACAAAACAGAACCCACATATCTAGACATCCCTTTTTAAAACACCACAAACACCTGCAAAACTAATGTTTACTCTCGTCCCTCTCCACCAACTCCCCCACCCCCAACCCCCTCCCAACCTTGACCTTGATCTTCTTGTCCTGTTCCGGATCCCTACCCACATCCCCCACCGGTTCGCCCTCGTCCTGGTCTTCTTTCGTCTTCTCTTCCGAGCCATTGTTCTTCTTCTTGTCTTGCTCATCCTCGGCCTTCTCCGCCTCCAAAATCTGCTGCTTGATAAAATCCAGATCGAGCTTCATGCAGAACGCGTCCTCCCCGTCGGCGTAGTACTTTGGCTCCGTCTTTTCCGTCTCGAACTTGAGCGTGTTGCGGTAGAGGTGGATGGCGGCTTGGTTGGAGACGCGGACGTGGAGGGAGACGTAACGGGCGTTGAAGGCTTCCACCATTGCTTGTTCTGTTCACCCATCAATACACTGTGATTTGGGTGGGGGGGTAAAAGGGGGGAACATACGGCTCTGTCTCATGAGTTTTTCCGCGATACCCAGCCTCCGGTGGGTGCGCATCACGCTGAGGGAGGTGATGTGGCCGTGCTGGACGCCGTCCGTGGGCTCTTCTTCCATTTTGGCGAGGACATAGCCGACGATCTTGGGGTAGTCATAGGGGGTCTTTGCGGGGCGGGAGACGTCGACTGCCACGAAGGAGAGCTGGGGCCAGGAGAGGGCGTGGTAGAGGTAGTACTTGAGGAAGTAGTTCTCGGGGAGGTTCTCGAGGTTGGCGTGCTGGATGAGGGGGATGTCGGAGGGGCGGAGGAGGCGGATGTCCATTGTGTCTTGAGCTGAACTTGTTCGGGCCTTGTATGTACGGTATAGCTAAATAATCGAAAGCTTCGTAGTCGGCAAGCTTCGGCGTGATGCGGGCGGCGTGAATTGAACGCTGGACGGGACGGCCGTTTGGTGGGGCTCTTCTGACAAGACGGCCAAGGTGAAATTCAACGCCGCCAATGGGTGGGACTTCCCGCTGAAAGCCATGTGGGGTGGGCGCTGTAGCCGCGCAAATAGCGGGGCAGCTTCCCAGGGTAAAGAGCTTCCCCGGATGGACCTCGACCGACATCGCCAGATGCGGGGCATGTCCAACTTATACATCAAGGGCATTGTCATTCCGTGGGGGGTTACGCCGCTTTGTTTTGTATATATGAAGCTATCTCCTCAAATTGATTTTATTTTCTTCCCTGTCCGCGTCCAAAGAGCTCTCTCTCATCTGTGTTAGTTTTGTATAGCATTGATATCACCAGGAACATGTCTCGCCCTCTCGAAGGCAAACTCGCCATCATAACCGGCTCATCGCGAGGTATGTGTCCCTAACCGTCCCTTCTCACCACTATGCTAACAATCACCAGGCATTGGCGCAGCCATAGCCGAAAACCTCGCCTCCAAAGGCTGCAACATAGCCCTCAACTACACCTCCCCCTCCTCTACCTCCATCGCCAACGACCTCGCCGCCCAGCTCACCTCCTCCCACAACATTAAAGTCGTTCCCATCCAAGCAGACATTGGCAGCCCGGAAGGTCCCGCCAAACTTGTTCAAGATGTCAAATCTGCTTTCTCCTCTTCAGACAACACCTTCCAAATAGACATCATCATCAACAACGCCGGCATAGCCCAAAACGCCCTCCTCCCCGACGTCACAATCCCCCAATTCGAAGCCACCTACCGCGTCAACGTTTTGGGTCCTCTCCTTCTCGTCCAAGCCGCCCAGCCTTACCTCCCTAAGGATAGATCAGGCAGGATAGTCAACATCTCTTCCGTCTCCTCCTCTACCGGGTTCGTCACCCAGTCTGTCTACGGCGGGACCAAGGCTGCGTTGGAAGCAATGACACGGACGTGGTCGCGGGAGTTGGCGCAGAATGCCACGGTGAACGCGGTGAACCCTGGTCCAGTGGAGGGGCCGATGTACGCGAGTAATGCAGAGGTTTTCCTAGAGGGGATTGAGGGTTGGATCAAGCACACTCCGTTAATGAAGGCGCAGGAGGGGGATGTGAAGGATGAGAGTCTGCCGGACGGGACGAGGGCGGCGAGGACGGGGGAGATTGCGGGTGTGGTTGGGATGCTGTGTGGGATGGAGGCGGGGTGGATTACGGGACAGGTTGTTTGTGCTAATGGAGGGATGGTTATGCTTCATTAGGGGGACACTCATACATAGAGTTCATGGTTTGTATATTTGAGAGATGATATAGGTATCATTAGAGACAAGGCCGGATGCTATCGAGTTGAGCTGAATTTATTGTCTATGGTGAGCTGAGGTTCCCAGCAAAACGAGGTGGCTCATGCTAAATGCTTCCAGCCCAAACTCTTACTTCAATATGAGAAACTGGTTTGGAGGAAGAAAGCATAAAAACAAAAATGAAGCTGACACCGTCCAGGATGAGCTCTCAACCTGGAAGCTCGGCTTACACAACCAAAACGTCTCACTGCGGGGCCAAAATTTGCCCCGCGCTCGTTCGCTCGCTCCGGCCGGCTCTTTTGAACTCGGCTCACCCCGCCATAGTTACTTGCCTATACAAGCCGCTCACTCACTCACTCACTCACGTCACTCACTCACTCACTCACTCACTCACTCACTCACTCACTCACTCACTCACAGTCATTCTTGACCGCATCTTACACGAGTTATCCCATAATTTTATACCCTCCCACTCACACATAAAAACCATGGCGTCAAATCACCAAACCATAAACTCCGCAGAAGACCCCTTCGACTCCCTCCTCCACCTCGAAACCCTGTTCTACACCGAAGGTTACAACCAAGGCGCCGCCGATGGAGTCCTCGCTGGTCGCACCGAGGGAAGACAGCTGGGTCTGGAAAAGGGCTACCAGAAATTTCTCGAGGCGGGAAGGTTGTACGGAAGGGCGTTAGTCTGGGCCAATCGACTGCCCAACCGTTCTTCTTCGCCACCGTCAAAATCACCACCGGCGTCATCAGAACCAGTTGTGCCAACAGAGACCGAGAACAGAAAAGAAAGACCTTCCCACCACTACCCAAGAAACCCCAGGCTAGAGAAGCACATCACCACACTGTATGCCCTGGTTGAGACGGAAAAGCTTGTTCCATGGAAGAACATCCCAGCACGAGGCGGTGAATGATTTCGATGATAGGATAAAGAGGGGGCAGGGGAAGGCGAAGATTATCGAGAGGATGGTCGGGGAGAAAGCAAGCGGAGGGGAGGAGGCAGGGACAGCAAGTAAGGGGGTCACCGTTTGAATGTGGTGATGGAAAGGGAAGCTGTAGATAGACACCCACGTATACACTCATTCACGCACATAATCTCATGAATGAAAGCAACAAATGAAAAACGCGTCTCAAAGCCAGCATGCCCCGTCTGTCTATACCGCCTCTATTTTGCAGGTCTTATGTACAGCTTCTCGGTGACCTCTTTCTTTCTCCTTTCTCTAAACGACCAACCTTAGGCAAAGGTTCTGCAGGGGTAGCTGTGATTCGTTAGCACATCTCTTTCATAGGAGAGAGAAATAAAAAGAGAAAAGACCTACTCCTCCCCATAGCTCTGCTCCTCCTCCAGCTTGTACTTGTGCACATCCCACTTCCCCTCGGCATTGCTCATCGTCGTCCCGCTCGGCAGAGGTGGCAGGCCACCAGTGGCCTCCAGCACCCTCTTCGCAGCCTCGACACCGGCAGACTCGATATAGTTGGCCAGGCCAGCCTGCTTGCCCTGCTCCTGGGCGGCAACCAGAGCCTTGGATCCCTCCTCGCCAATGAGCTCGACACGGGGGGCGGCAGCGGAGCCGACGGTCAGGAGAGCAACCTGCTCGGCCTGGGAGACGACAGAAAGACGGGGGTAGTTGCGGCGGGCGTCGCGCTTCCAGTACGGGTTGTCGGCGAGGTCGCCGGCCGGGAGGGTGACGGGGTCGTCGTACTTGAGGGGATCGTTCTGGCCGGGGGCGGGGAAGCGGTTGTAGGGGTTGAGGGGGACGCCGTTGGAGCGGTTGGCGTCGAGGGAGAGGGAGGCGCGGAGCTTCTCCCAGAGGCCGGTGGACTGGACGGTGTATTTCTGGATGGGGAAATATCAGTACAAGAGGCAATTCTACGAGACTAGGTAAGCAATTGAAAACATACGGTGCTGATCTTTTGGACAGTGCCGGCCGCAGCCTTTGCTACCGCTTTGGAGGCCATTTTGGCGGTTGGGGGGTTCTGTGGTAGGGTTTTACCACTTGAAGATATTCAGAGATTCAAAGATGGGGACTTCGCTGCTGCCAACAACCAGCCTGCCTCTCACACACACACGATGATGCTCCCAGTTGCTGCGGTCTTGGCGTTGGCTTGCTTAGCTCTTAGCATGTCAAAGAGCCCGCAGTTTAGCCGGGTTCAAGAAGGTGAAGAATGCCGAGCCTTCAGTTGGAGAATCTGGACCGGGCAGCTCCACTGGCGCTGGGTCGCAAACGGACAGGGTTGGCCTGGGCCAGCACTTGGCACTTCGAGAACCACGTTCTTGGGGAAACGGACTGAGGAGCGATCCATCCGTCTCACGGACCACCTCCTACCACCGAACTCCTCTGGCCTGGCTCCTCACAAAACCTCGACCGACTCCGCGATCACCCTTTGTGACGGGGAGCGAGATGGCACCATTCCATCACCTGACTGCTTGGGTTTTTTCAAAGTCAATGCTGTTACCCTATTGAATTTCTATGGCTAACGGCATTAACTTGAAGAGAGAGAAAGAAGAGAAAGGTGGGTGCCGAATATTGCGCCTGATTTCAAAAGCTCCCCTCGACGTAACAGCCAGCCAGCCCCCTCTCGTTGCACAAGGAGTGCGCTGGATTTTGTATGTAGGGCCGGTCCGATCGAGATCTTTTCCCTTTCTGTCTGTAT